TTTTTTTTGGCCCCTCCCGGGCCAGGGTCAGGGGACCACCGCACCGGACCCCTGGGGCCGGGGCTGTGACAACCACTGAGAAGTACCCGGGGGTGGGGGGGGGTAGGGGGTGGGTTCAAAACTTGTCAAGGCTGTTGTCATGGAGAGTGGGGAGTGAGGTTGGAGGGGGAGGGGGGGGGTACTAAAAACTTGTCAAGGCTGTTGTCATTGGAGAGTGGGGAGTGAGGTAGGATGTGGACATGAACTGTGGAAATGAAGGGTGGGGTGATTGTCCCTGCGCTGCAGTCTGACTTGTCTGGTACAGATTGATCTTAGGGGCTGCAGGTTGGTTGTGGGCTCAGGACCGCTTGCGCTTGTGGACATCCACGTGTTCATGACACTTGCCTGGCTGTTGCGACAGGAGTGTGGGGAGTTTTTTCTTTGGGGAGTGGGGGGGGGAGTGAACACGAATGGTGGAAATGACCGGTGCAGTGGCTGTCCGTGCACTGCGGTCTCGCTTGTCTGATACAGATTGATCTTAGGGGCTGCAGGGTGCAGGTTGGTTGCGGGCCCAGGACCGCTTGTCCTCATGATCATCCACATGCGTGCATGCCACCTGCCTGGCTGTGCCTGGTCACTTGCATACAAGGGGGTTGGGCACCCCATGGGAGAGTGGCCTCTTCCGAGGGTAGTGGATGTGTAGGCTATTTGCATTACTATGTTCCGTCACGGGCTTGTCTAGAGGGTCGCTGGTTGCTGGTGCTAAGGGGGGTGGTGCAGTGCTTGGGTTATGAGGTTGCAGTATGGAAGTGTTCGGGTCCCTCTTGCAGCTAGAGTTTCTTGTTGAGAGTTGCGTTGGAACGTGGTGATGATTCTGTTTGCAGGTGTTCGATGAGGTGTGGGGTGTGGTCCTAGGTTATGTCCTATTGGGGTGGGTTTTGGAGGGCAGGGGAGTGTGGGGAGTGGGGAGAGATGGTAGGGAGGCAAGGGGTAGGGATTGGAAAGGTATCCAAGTCCTTAGCTTCGCGGCTTTCAAACCAGCTGAATGCATTCTCTGCTGGGGCTGCTCCGACTCCCTAAATCCCTGAACCGAAATCCCTATCTCATGGTTCAACTTGTGCTGTAGGACCCCCTCACCCCTGCTCCTCAGAAAAGAAGGAAAAGAAAGTGCAAACTTACCCTTCTGTTTTTTTTTTTTTTTTTTTTTTTTTCAGGAACTTGCTCCAGTGTTACATCTTCGATGCCGCACGGGCCCTACCGGACCCGACTTAGGGCTAGAGGGACACATCAGGGCCTAAAGGCCCGACCTTGGGGGATAACAGGCCGAAAGGCCACGACTTGGACCCGACTACGGACCAGGCCCAAATGACATTTCGTCTTTGGGCCTGACGGCGCCGTTTGAGGCTGCCGCTCTCCAGTTGGACCTGAATCGTCGATCTGGACGGTTCAGCCCCAACCAAGGCCTCGCAGCAGTGAGGCCGGTCCTCTTCGAACCAGTACTTAGTACTGGTCCGGCCTCACTTCGAGGCATCGACCCACCGGTATTCTACACGGTGCGGTAAGGTCGGCGCCAGAGCGTCGTTTGAGCGCTATTCCTAGCGCAGGAGCGAAGGGCAGCAGCAGAGCGACCTAGCGCAGCGGCAGCAGCGAGCGAGGACAGCAGCAGCATTACCAATCGCCGCCTCAGCAGCAGCAGCTGCAGGTACCAGGAGGCGGGGATATCTTCCTCCCTCCTCGGTCCCTTTCCCTCCTCCTCATCTTCGTCTCTCTCTCTCTCTCTCTCTCTCTCTCTCTCTCTCTCTCTCTCTCTCTCTCTCTCTCTCTCTCTCTCTCTCTCT